GCAAATGCAAACAGATGCGAAAGGCAAGAGGCGGAGATTGGGCGTGGCTAACGTCAGCATATGCAACTCACCAATAGACAAATAGGGTCAATGCTCTGGGCTGTCCGTATTGTTCTTAAGTTTTCTTTATGTATTACCGGGAATTACTCGGCTTTGCGCGGCCCAAGATTGCCGAACATGTGAACATGGATTAAATATATAAGCAAATAATAAAAATGTCGTGAGTAACAGTTTTCAAACACTCTTGTAGTATTAAATGGCTACATCTCGTTTACATCTATCTTAAAATGAATATAAAGAATCAACAATTCCGCGAGCGATTCGTGGTTTACTAGTCGGTTTTCTGTTTGGTTTCATTTGGAGCTGGCTCTGCAAAGTCTGGCAAATTTAACTTCAGATTGGCACGCATGCGTCGATGTCGCTCAACGCTTTGGTCAGGATTGAGGCATTTAAAATTTTTACGTAAATGAGGTGTTGCTGCTGCATCACCCGCTGCTACAACCGCAGCTACGGACTCTGAACGTTTGCGTTGCTGTCGCTCAACACTTTGGATGGGATTGAGTCGTCTAAATGTGTGCTTCGGCTGAGGCGTCAATGATTCCTCAGTGCTTGGAGCTGAAGGCTCCGATTTGGTTGCCTTTTTCAGTAGCAGCTTCAACTGGTGCTTTCGCTGCAGCTCTTGGAGTCGCTGCTGCCGTTTGCGCAGCACATCCATCAGAATCTGATCACTTTCAAATTTGGCCGCGTACCACAGCAATATACACAAAGCGATGCCTAAGGCGATGAAGAGATGTACATTGTCTGATATCTCCAGGCTTTGCAGCAGTGGCATCTTTGATAAAATGTTCGTTGTATTTAACATTTTTGCTTGTGTTGCCTTATCTATCTGTATGCCAAAGAGTTCACGTTCAGTTCCTAGACGATAAAAATAAAATTGTTGTATACTTTCTCGATGTTTTCTTAGTTTAAATTCGCAGCGTCTGCTGTGATTTCAATTGTGAAATGTATTGACATAAAATTCACTTGGATATTTTGAGCATGAGCAAGTCCCAATGTCTCAGAAACTCAAGTGCTTGGGACAACAAAAACGGCAGCCACAGCCACAGTGAGTGCTAGCAACAAGGCTGAGGCACTGCTTGACCATATCTCAAAAGTTCAAAATGGCTCTTAACCCGCTGCTTGAGGCTGTGGCTAAAATTGCAGCTAAGCTAAACAAATACATATGCACACAGACAGAGAAGTGGCATGAAAATAAATTAAAAAAATGTGTGAAGTTTAGCACAACAACACACAAACACACACACACGCGCGCATGTAGCGATATTAAGAAACGTGACTTTCCAGCCTCCTTTTAAGTACATATGAAACTAGGTATGTATGTGTGTATGTTTTATATGTATGTGCGTGTGTGAGCGCATGTTCATATTTAGCATGTTATGAAAAATGTATATACAGGCCGGCTCTAATATGTCTAGAGTCTCGAGTGCGTTGCCTTTGTCTGCCTAGCACGTCCCAGCAGCGACAGCAGCAGCAGGAGGAGGGGCAGTAGCCGTAGCAATCTTCCATCAAGAGGCATCAGACCCGCCAGGCTACCATTTAATGACAAAAGTTATGACGACAAATGACTCAGTTGACTTTCACTCTGGAATCAGAGCCGGTCTCTGGTTGTCTGCCACAATGGGACTATGAATCATTTCTCGTTGATTTTCATTTTCACATTTCACCTTTCACTTTTTCTATTGCCGCGCTGATTTTGCAACATTTTTAAAGCGTTCGCTCATATGTCATTATGCAAATTGTTAATTAATTTGATATAAATATAAATTTATAGCAAAAAAAATTAATTACGCATAATGTAAATGCCTTTGTGCATTGCAAATCATTACGACAGGCAGCAGAGTCGCTGCAATCGCTTAAAATGTTTATGTAAATTGAAATTTGTTAATCAACTGTATTTAGAATAAATTGAAAAAAATTGTTGGACTAAATTTTTACTTTTATATTACATTCATTTCACTTAAATATGCAAATTCTGTTGTATCATAATATCAAATAACATAATTTGTTATGGTTTTAAAAAAGCGTGTAATAATATTTTCAAAATGAATAACAAATCCGTAAAACACGTTTAAACCAATTTAGAGATTGCAAAAATAGTTATAAAAGCTAACCTCTTTTTTATTTAATTTATTTTTCCTTTAAATAACTTTGAATTATTAATGTTGAATTATTAATGTATTTCACTCCTTAAACAATATCAAATAGGTGTTAAAATATTTGTTTATTCTCTTATTTATAGAAATTTGACCTCTCTTGTTTCCCGCCCACACAACATATATTAAGGATTGGCCCATTTGCCGCTACTCTTGGATTCAGGCAAAAGTTTGTAGCTTAATTTGATTAGTACGGACGGCTACTTTATGGCTACACATTAGTCACCACTTGGTCGCAAGGCTAAATGGCAAATAAGTGGTTAAAGTCTTAAGAACAGTGCAAATAAACTTGGCTTGGTGGTATACACAGCAAAGGGCAGAGTAGTCATAAATTAAGATAATATTACGCCACTTGCCGCTAAACAAACGCCTGTCAATATTTGTGCATTGCATGTCCTGCTGCTCCTTCGGCATGCAAATCATATTAAGCCAATAATAAATTGGCCTCAAACTCAAAATTGAACTAATAATAATTGCTAAAGTTCATCAGCAGACAAGTTGACAAAGCTGCAGGGCCTCTTCTGAGCGTGTGTGCGTGTGTCCTTGGAGAGCTTTCTCTCAAATTTATGATTTCATTTATAGGCAATAAAGGCACTCACCAACACATACACGCACACGCTAACGGCTACAAGTTGGAGTATTATTTACTGGCACACAAGCCGAAGGCGAAAATCTGCCACAAAATTGCTCCTCGGCCTAGCGTTAATTCAATTTTATTACGCATACGCAGCGTGTGCGGCCCAGAATGACATGAAGTAAGTTGAATTCAAGTGTACTCTCAAGTCCGGCTTTTTGCCCGTGTGTAAATCTGCATTGCAGCAGCTTTAATTGTGCATGTCTGGCAAGTGTGTAGACACAAATACGTAGATTCTGAACACGCCCCCAAACAAACACACGCACACACATACGTCCTACTGCAGTAATTAATTAGTGTACTCTTGATTGCTTATCTATTGATTGTGCACTTCAGGTGCATCTTACACAATAACGCGCACTTTATCTAAACTATATAAATTATTTTAACTAACTGTAAATTTAAGGTTGAATCAGTGTTGGTCAACCGTAAGAGGCCCCTAACTGTAAATTAATGAATGTGCACGTAATTACATGTCTTTACGTATATAAAATTCTATTAGCATGATTTTTGTTGATAGACCTTTTTGAAAACTTATATACTTGTAGAAACCCAAAATGTTTAACTTAACTTTCCCATTACCTAAAATAAATTCCACTTTGTATAGATATTTTTTTCTGATTCTTTTCAGGGGAAACACTAGACTAAAGGACAATTATTTCCAAAATACCCCCACAAGTTTTTTTTTATATGTGCAATTTCAATTTTTTTCAAAGTCTTGGCCTGGATGAGCCCCACAACAAGAAAAAGCTTCAGTTTCAGCTTCAGCTTTTTTGAATTATATTTTTATATAAATTTCTTCACCCTAAAGACATAATGGACTATAGCGAACTATTCAAAAGATGTTGATTATAATTGCACTTTCTATTTGAAATTTGTTTTTCAGTCTTGCTTTAGTTTATTGGATTCTTTTCTCTATTCAGCTCATTGCACACCTCTAAAAATGCGCGCATCTACTTTTCGGGTTTTTAATATTTTACAAGCGCTTTTATAGGCCGGTTGGGTTGCTGCCGTTGTGCTTTGTGCAATTGCTTTTCCCGGATATTGTTGTTAGTTTTTACTTTTGAGTTTGCTTTTTGTATGCATTTTGTGGGTCTTTTGTTTTACACGGCCTGCATTCAGATTGCTTTCGTTGTTGTTATTCGTGCTGCTGTTGTTATTGTTGATGGTGTTCGGCTGCTACCGTGTCCTATTTGTATCCTGTCGGCTGCGGCACCTCTCACACATTTATGTCTATTGGCGCGCGTCCATTTCCATTTCATTTCCGTTATTGCAAAACTTTTCGTATTAAATATATTTTTCTCTCTCTTCTGTTTCGCATGCCGCGTGCTGCGATTGTTTCATTTCGATTGTTGTTGGCGTTTGTTGTTGGTGGTTTTTGCACTTTTGCAAAGTTGTTTGTTGTTATTATTTCTGGTACTTTATGCGCCCGTTGCCATTATTGCAGTTGTTTCCTTTATTGCACCAGCAAGCATAAAAATGTTTGCATTTGCATATAAATATAAATATATTATAGACATATGTACACACTTCGAGCATTCGCCCCTTTTAATGTGGCCTACTTAAGAGTGGCTGGGCGTGGGGCTTGGTTCTGCAGTGGCTTTCAAATTGACATGCAATTTGTTATAATTGCCAGTCCCGAGTGCGAAACAGCGTCCTAACAACTCGCGCATTATCCACTGAAGCGACTCGGCCAAAAACCTGACCCTGATTAGGCAGCCAGCATACATTTTGTTGTTGCTGCAATTAGCATGTTGCGCTGCCATAAATAAAATTAACCACAATGCTCCAAATAACATGGTCAACAATGTTGCCCCGGATAACTGCAGCTTCCACCGTCAAGAGTGCCACAATTATTCTATACACTCACAGGCAATGAGTTGTGCGAAACCCTTGGTAAGTTCAAATCGCTTTTGAGAGGAAAATTGTAACTGAAAATAATTGGACTGAATATAAACAGAAATATATGTGAATTTCCAAAGAATAGATTAATAAATGTAAAAACCAACTACTCAAAAATAAAGCGATAGGTCCCATCAACTAGCCGATATTTGATTATTTTTTAGATTTCTTTTAATAATATCTAAGGGCAATAATTTCTAAGTGTTTAAATTCTTATCAATAACATTTTTTATTAAAGAAATATTTTATGTCCTGCTAAAACACTCGAACAAAAATAAATAGCTGGATAAAAGTAAATATCCTTGCGTTAATATTAATAAGGCTCCGATAAGCACATTTCAGATTTGTAAGTACCATAATAAATTCATTTTTTCTGCTTTTCGGTGAGCTTCTGCGCAAATTAAACAAATGTTTTTGCATATTTTATGACGCAGCGCATTGTGCACACTGCACAATTCGCAGCCGACCGCAGAATTTAGCGCATTTAAATTAATGATACGAAATGTCAGCAAAATGCTGAACCGCAAATCATGCGACACATTTTACTTTTATATTTTAATATTGCATTTGAAAGTGTGGGTAAGTTCTATTAGGGCATCTTAAATTGCATAGGTCTTTTTATATTGCTAAAATTTATAATTTTGCTTAAGGCTCTGGAAATGTTTGAACGTGAATTGTTAAGTCATGGGACAGGGTAGAATTTGATTAGGAAAGAACTGCGTCCTTGAACCAAAAGGACATGCGATCTTCGCGGCATCTCTTTAAGGGTTCGGTGTTTGTATACATGCGAATCAGAGAGTGGAAACGATTGTGCTTGAACTGATTTCCAGCTTTAAGGCGCTCACTAAGCTCGGCTGCCTTTTTGGCCAGGGTCTTTGAAGTCGCCATAGACTGTTCCAGCTCTTTTTTCACTGTCTCAGCAACCTCCTTCAGCGGGGGATTGTTACTGGTATTCGGCTTCGATTTATCTTCAACCTTATTTCCGTCGCTTTGAGAGACATAATCCCCCGCGTGGGCAGCCGTCGAAAGGTGAGAAACTGTATCTGCCTGATGGCCACTCGCTTTTGACTTGACCGAAATTCGGGAAATATTATCTGCTCGGTGGTCGCCAGCTTTGGATGGGTGTTCACTAGTCTTGGACTTAACAGAAACTCGGGAAATATTATCTGCCCGTTTATCATGAGCCTTGGACAGGACGGAAGCACGGGAAACTGTGTCAGCGCGGTAGTCACTCGCCTTATACTGGGCAGTAACACGGGAAGCATTATCTGCATGAACTGTACTTGCTTTAGACCTTAATGAGATCTTGTCTGCTTGAAATTTTTCTGCCTGAGACTTCATAGAGACACGAGAAATTGCATCCTCTGTATGACCTGCATCTGCTCGTTGGCTACTGCGCGACACATTGTCCGAGTGTTTTGCGTTCGAGTCCTTGCTCTCAGTTATATTTAAAGAACCTTTTAAGTGTTTTAATTCAGTGTTGGGCACAAGTGTTTGATTGCTATTATACGAGTTCGCACTCATCTTGCTGGAAATTTTAGCGGGAATCTGGCTAACATGCGACTTGGCTGTGCTCTGCTGAGAGTTAAGACTCTTTTTTGAGGTCGCCCTTAGAGCGATGCTTAAACGGGAAAGGCCACTTGATGGCGATGAGGCGCGGTGCTCCCTGACGGGCATCAACGTTGTCACGGACTTTTCCTTAGGACCAGTATTTGACAGAGTCGTTTTGGACTGGCCGCCCGCATCGATGCGCTCGCCAACAGAGGCAAGCTGTTTTGAAGCGGCCATCTCTTCATTAATGGCTTTGGAAATAGCTACTTCACCCCTTTGGGATTGCTCGTTATGCATAGCAGCTGCCGCCTGCTTGACAAACGTACACTGCGAGACCGATCTATTGGTGGGCACCTTCGGTGCCGGCCATGTAGCAAACACAGGTGGCGGATATGTTGGACTGCTTGGCATCTTGTACTCATATCGTTTCCCACTTTCGGCTGGTCCAATGCTGAACGGGTTAAAAAGTTCACCCTCATCATCAACAAACATATTGGCTGCTTATTTAATTAATGTACTGCGATTGGTGTTTTATTCCTCTGCTTGGCACAAGCCAGTCCAGCAACAATGCACAGAAGAGCGATGCGTGAGTATGAGTTGTGCTTCTAGGTGTTTCAACGCCAAAATTATATTATTAAGTAATTCACTTAATGTTCAGTACATCTTTTCTTCTTTACAATCTAAAAAAATACTTTCCACTAACCGAATTTTTAATTTTTGGAAGAAACTAATTGAAAGCAGACGCAGCTCAGTATATTATCAAAGCAAGCGCAGGGCAACATTTATTTAAGAAATACTCCTTGAATGGCATACTATGGATGGGTTGCTTGACTGCAAAACGTGCTGTTACTAAGCTTAAAATATGATATTCGATCGGTGGAAGAAATACTTTTTCAAATGACACATAGTCCAATGTTAATAAAATTTCAGCCCTAAAAATGGTATTGAAACACACATAAATAAATTTATATTTTAAATATTGTTCGAATAATTCCCATACCAATGCAACAAGAATAAAAATTTAATGTGTTGATAGACCGAAGACGAACACAGGCGGATATGGCTTGATGTTCCTGTTTAAGAATATATCTACTTTCTGGGGTCGGAACTGACTGCTTTTGCTATATTTAATGGGCTCTTGCCTTGGGCATTCAAACACATACGACGCAAGTCGATCAACTTAAGCTGGACTTCTATCACATGATAAAAGAAAAACAATGTATAGTGTTTATAATCTAGAAAGCATAAATGCCCTCTTCACATTACGAATGATACAGAGACAGGCAACTTCGACCCCACAAAGCTTATATATTCTTGATCAGGTTGACCTAAGTCGAGTCAGCCATGTCCGGCTGCAAGTTTTTTTTTTTTCATTACTTTTTATTATGTAACCCTTACTAGGCACAACATTTCGTGGCATCAGTAAATGCAGAAAATATTTAGGCACATCATCCTGAAATATATGTGACTTCCGATCTTTGAGGTACCTTTTCCGTGGACTCGCTGCCGGTTCTCAGCCGTTTGCTCAACTCGGATGCCTTAGCGGCCAGGGCCTTGGATATCTTCACCGTCTGGGCTAGCTCCTTTCTTATTGAATCGGCCACATCCCTCAGTGAAGGTGTGATTTTGTAAATGTTGCTTGCATTGATTTTAGTTCCTTTAATGTTTGATTGGGTGTCATCATTCGCGCTGGATATCCTAGAAATATTAGATTTTGTATCTGCATGGCCACCTGCGTGAGCTCGTTTCTTCGCATTGGAACAGGAAATTCTATCTTTGCTTGTTTGAGACCTGGCTGAGCTCGCCTGGAGGAACTCACTTGATTTCTCCGCTAATCGATGGTGCCTCACCGGCATTACTGTCATCATGGACTTCTGCGCTGCTGACCGAACCGAAGCGCGAGATCTTTTGTGCCTGACACCGAAATGATAGCGCTTTTCAGCAGGTGCCTGCCGCTTGGAAGCGGTCATCTCCTCGTTTATGGCCTTAGATATCTCCACTTCTCCCATCAGCGATGGATCAGTTTTCAAACTATAAGACCCGCCAGTCAATTCCCGTTTGACAACCGTGCTTTGCGACACAGATTTGTTCGTATGTTCCTTTGGTGACGGCCATGAGGAAAATACTGGTGGTGGATATGATGCCGTGTTGGGACCAATGTTAAACGGATCGAAGGGCATACCCTCATCATCAAAAAACATTTCGGCTAGTCTTGAATTTTTTCTCCTCAAGCAACTAAGGATGATTAGAGTGTGGTTTAATATTCGATGTGCACAATGTCCAGGCAAATATGCAGGAGAACAAGCCTTTTATTCTGCGTATGTTTAATGCCAGAAATGTATGTCTATAAATTAGGTGAATTTTTATCGTCCTGGATTTCGATAAAAATTCAATAAGGTACGCAACTGAAGATTTTAAATAAACTGAGTGAAAACAGGCTCTGCCAAGTCCGACCTCAATTTTTAAGCAACATATTTTCCATGGCATACTATGAAACGAATGACAGGGTTTATATCTATATTTATTAAAATTGAATGTAACGACTGTGTGACCTTTATATATTATAAATTCATAAATATTTAAAAGACTGGTAATCAGAACGAACAAAATCACTTGTTTCTTTTTCTGTTCTAGGTCCAGACCATCCAGATGTGTACACATTTGTCCCATGCTGACAAAAGTGTGCATCTTTTTTTAGTGCCAATTAAATTCTGATGTGGAATGAGGATGAATATGTACGTTTCTTGTTTTCGGAAATTGTTTTATTTATTTTTTTGGCTGCAAATTAAAACTTTGCACAATGTTTTTGGAGCGTTTCAAATCAGTTGACATCAGTTTGGCATCAGTTAACGACCAAATGTCCAAGGACTGCATCGTAAGGTAAAGAGAAATACGATCGCCGTGACATTTTTTCCAGATAATGTAAACGTTTCGACTATTTCAACTCATTCAAAGCACCAATGCGTTTGCTTAACTCGGTGGCCTTGGCGGCCAACGACTTTGATGTCTTTACCGACTGAGCCAACTGCTTTCTAATGGAATCTGCGACTTCCTTCAGCGACGGTGTGACCCTACTAACGCGGCTTGAGGCACTGGCGAGACTTCTTCCGGTACTTGTTCGGGAGACAGAATTCGGAAATACTTCCATTGAGGCAATGGAATTATTAAGAGGTCGCTTGCCCAATTTGGTCTTCATTTTACGGGCTCGAGAAATTTGTGAATTACGGGAGACCCTGTTAATCGGATGCCCTTCTGCCTGGGTATTTAACGCACGTGAGGATCTACTTCCGGAATTACCACCTCCAAGTGCTCTTAGCGTTGTACTAGATTTTGTGCGCTTGCTGGTAGAACTGAATCTGATTGCCTGATTAAGCGGCTTACTGGCTGAACTTGCCTGGGAGCACACGTTGCTCATAAAAGTTGCATCTGAAGCTTTAGATATTTGGGAGAGTTCGCTTAAAGTTGGCTTGAATATGCCGGTGGGAGCCATTACAGTTTTCAGGTGCTTCAAAGGCATGGTTCGTGCCTTCGGCAGTGTCTTGGACCTACTACCCGCATTACAGCGCTTGGAAACTGTCATCTCCTGGTTGATGGCTTTCGAAATTGACACTTGGCCCTCTTTGACAGACTTCTGTATGGACGGATTAATTTTCTTTTGTTTGACTTTTAGGAGACGACCACCGTGAAACGGATTAAAGGAGTCTCCATTATCAGTCATATTGACTGCTTTAGAATTCAGATCGCTTGGTTAGAATATTGACTTTTACGGTAATTCTCATTGTTTACTTACAATCTTGTCTGGGGACTGAGCTACACAATACTGACTCGCCAGCTAATCTTTTCTGCGTAAATATATTGCCAAAATATTTTTGAGTTTCTTTAATTTTGACGAAATTTCATTTCCCTGGAATTTTGACAAAAGACACTTAACTGCGTCAAAACTGAAAGCAAACTGAAAAATTCAACATAAAATAAGTATAAAATAAACAAAATAACATTTTTTACATGGAATACTATACAATTCATATATTTGTACCCAACATATTTTATATGACTCTAAACATTGTTGGTTCATATAAAAATTATAATTAACATATCTTCGACAAGACAGGATAGGATAATAAACACATTTGTTTCGAATTAATTAAATTAATCAATGAGCCATTTTTTTTTTCTGTCTCATTTGCCCTCTCTCATGTTTGCCCTCCTTTTGTTTGTGAACATTTTGTATATGAGGCTAGCTACCTACATTCCGAGTGTCTGCCTCATACTTCAAGCACAAACTGAGGAATATTTTAATTAAAAGGCATAAACGCCAAGCTATGTGCCCTACATATTGTTATCAATGTTGCAGAGCCTTCGAGTGTACGTGCTGATAAGGCAGCCAAACAAAAGGCTGCCTCTGCCTGGTTGACAGAAGCTCTTGACAATTTACATGCTGCATAGGACAAATTATTGTGTACTTGCACTCGGTATGGGGTGTGTTTTTTGTTGTTTCATCTTTGCCAAGTGTTTGTCAACTTTGTAAAAGTAATAGACAGGCAAATTGTTTTTATGACATTTCCCCTCAAGTTCGAAATTATAAGCCAGTCGTTAAATATTCAAAAAGGAGCTGCCATATGCAGGGTTTGATTTTATTCGAATGCTAAATCACTTGGTGTACATAAGATTCGGCTTTAATTAACCAAACATGGCTAGATACCAAAGACGCTGTCCGACGGAGTCCGTTCGGCAAGCATCAGGCGGAAGCATTGGCATTGGCACTTACGGGACCGGCCCCGTTTTTGACGGCAACACATATCCGGTTATGGTTGGTGAAGTGCCAATGCGGCCGCCTGCAGCTAGCAAGACGCGACAGAAGCCCGTTCCGGGCATACCACAAAGGTGCAGCACCAGAGCAACTTTAAGGCGGCAACAGCAGATGCAGCGAGAATCACAAAGGCAACCGACAGCTCAACTACTTCAGTCACAGCCACAGTCCCAGAGACAGTCCCAGTCCCACTTCCACTCCCAGTCACAGCCAGAGCCACAGCCACATCTGTCAACGCTGCAAGAGCAAGTGAAACAGCTACAGCTACAGCTGCAGCAACAACAACTCCAGCTACAGCATGAACAGATGCGGCAGCTCTACGGAGGCTGGCCGCTGGGTGGCATGGCTCAGGCCAATGCAAATGCCTTGGGCAATAACATGAACATTTTCAATCCATTGGCGCCATCCTTTAATTTGGGTCCAACGTTGCCTTCAAACTGCTCGGATTTCTGGCCCGGATACACTATGGTCACACCCGGAGATCCCAGCAGACCATACTCATTCGGCCTGAGCCCCACAGACTAGTTAAAATTTATTGTCGTAAAATCAAAAGTCGATTTAATGATTATTTATTACTCAAATATAAGTTACTCTCAACAAAACAGTTCCCGTCTTGGGCTTTCCACAGTCGTGTCAATAAAATATACATCTGTACGCGTCTTTTTCGGACAGGCAGAATGCATTTAATCCTACCCACATATAGTTGGGCGGCTGCAGCAGAGGCTTGGCTACCAAGCCCCAAAAATTTGCAGTTTTTGCAAGAAAATATTATATAGCTGTCAATTGGTATATTTAAATTATAACTACATTGTTTGTGAATACTTCAGGCACAAGCACCTGCATTTGGTTGGGGATTACTTGGATTTTTCACAGCCAGTTGATACATTTTTTATGTACTAAAGACGTCTGCATATACCTTTTGGCTCTGCTCCGAGTGAACTTCGCCATCATTTTATGTTACCTGTCCGTCTTGCGCTTTACACATCATCGAGTTGGGCTATGCTTGGGCTGGGGCGTTGGGCGGCAGCCAGAGTGTCATTTAGTGGTAAATTTCCGTCTTAGTTGGCAACGAATGTCATACGTGACATTTTTCGAATTCCGTTTTTAGCATGCCGTAATCGGGCCATATACGTGTGTGTTCCCAGCAACTGAGTGGGATAGAACGGGATGTTATCTTAATGCTGCTTGCTATCGTGTACCTGGCTTCCAGTGGTTTTTCCTTCTGGCCACGGCTGCCTTGCCTGGGTCTGACGGTTCCCTTTCCATCGTTTTTTTTCTAATTATTTCCTGTCTGCGCCGGGTTGCGTTACTTTTAATATGTAAGGACTCGTCTAGCGTTTTGACAAGACTATTAAAACGAGGTCTTTTTTCTATATTCCAGTTGCGGTTTCGCAGACGTTTAATTGCTCTGCAATTTTTTTATTATTATGAAATCAAAGGTATTTGAGTCGTGTGATGAATCACAATTTCAAGCAAGCTAAGCCGCAGCCAAGCGAACTATACTTAATTTCTTGAAGGAATATATTTATTGAATATATTTTCTTTACCTTTTGGCCTTTAGCTCAATTTGGCATATAAATCTGGCAACATTATTCTTGGTCAAAATTGATGTAAAAAAAACTAAAAATATAAATAATGAGCCCATTTAATACATATCAGTCAGTCATCGATATAAAATTATGGAAGGCGCACACTATTTTAAATTTTACATCTATTCAATTTAATCCCAAAGCTGCGAGTTTTTCATAAGCCCAGATTAATTAATTATTCAGAGTCTGTCTGATATCTTGTACATTTTATTCTGATGTCACTATAATTCCTGGCGTTGTCAAGTGTTCTACTTAAAAGGACTCAAAGCGCAAGTTAAAATGGCGGCTCAAAGGACGCCTCGTACACAAGCAACTTTCCCTAATGATGATCCCTAAAGTCAACTTGGCAAGAGCTCACTAGCACGCACACAGACGCGCTCATACACACGGGCACTGCGCTCATAAGCACACAATGGTATTAACGCCATAATTCGTAAGTTACAACATACACACAAACACACACAGACACGCCAAGTCTCACACACACGCGCCGCAAAAGGATTAAGTTATATTAAAGTTGTGAACGTTGCATTTTAACTAAGTTTTGTGCGCTGCGGGGGCATTGGCTATGGCAGTGGCTGGTTTTGTACCTTTGACACTTTCGGCTTATGGTAAATGTAAAATAGCGTCAATAAATGCGTTGCATCTAACTTGGTAGCACTGAAAGAGTATGCTATGCAAATTTTAATGCAGCTGACCCACATCATAATAGTTGTTATAATAATAATATTTGCCAAACAGTCAAAAGCGTTATGCATAAATGCAAAAAATTTGCAAAAATTTATACACTGGCAGGGAATTCGAGCAGGAGCCTTCGAGCAGGACGCGCAGACGTTGCCGCACTTTCATTTGCACTGCTTTTACTTTGCGGCATATAAATTTACAATATGTACCAAGTTCTTAAAACGTAAAAGAGTACCTACTATTTAGTTTGGATAGTTTGGATAGAAGCCATTTCTTTTTACAAATTATCAAGCTCGGTGAAATTCATATTTTAAAAACAACAAATAGTATGAATCTTGTCAGTAGTTAATAGAAGTATGATTGGTAAAATAATTTTCTAAGAAGTTGTGAGAAGCAATAAAAGGCCTTCGCTCTGAAGGTTCAGCATGATTGATTAGATTACTCCATGATTTGTATTGGATTGCCACTTGCTGACCCACTGTTATGCCAGCTCAAGAGTACCTGGTATTCGGGAGCCACCGACTAAATTCTTACCTGTTTTATATATTCGCTTATGCAACAGCCGATGACCCCGGTAGCCACATTGTGCATTCTGCGTAAAGTTACAGGTCAAGTATTCTTTTTTATTTTTTACTTTGTCTCGCTTCATTTTCGCACACTGACGTTGTATTTTTACGTGTGCGCATATTTATGGGCAAACTTTGCTGAAAGTTTAATTTAAAAAAATGCATCGCTCTGACTTTGTCCAGTTTCTCCAACACGAAACGAGCTGGGCAAAAAAATTAAATCAAATAAATTCGGTTTCTTTTGCTGTTAGTTTTGCGCATGCCACCCAATTTATAGGCACTTGGTCCAGAATTGTTCGACTGCATTTAATTACCCGCGAGCCGTTGAACATTGCTTTTAATTGTTTTGTTTTTCGCAACTCACATTTCATTCCGCTGCCAATTTGCATTTTGAGCACTTTCCCTGCCGCCATTTGACCGCTGAAATTAGCCACAGCACTTCAAGTTTGCTCTACAGCTGCTGCTGTCGTAAACATTTAGTCGACTCCATTTTTAGGATTTAATATAATATTTAGGATGTACCCCTATTTAAAATGTGAAGTGGTTTAACACTTTGCCAAAGCAAACTTAATGGCTCAGCCGTGTCTAAAAAGCTTATGTGGCAGTATATATATATATATAAACCACATACACAGCATAAAATACACGCACACAATCACATACAATAATCAACAGACACACAACCGAGCTACACTCGGAGAACACACTACGAACATAAATGCGGTCTTGCAATCGACTTTGCTTAACCTGAAGAGTCAACTTGTTGAAGTGTTTACTGTTTCGAATACCACCGCGATGCCATCTAAGTACACAAAACATTATGCAAATAGCCAAAAAGCACATAGATGCTCTGAACTGAGTAAACTCATCAAGCTTTATCTAGCCACCTACTGTAAACCAGGTACAGAGCCGGCCGCCGTCTTGTTATACCTATGTTTTTATAACTTATAAAAGGGGTTAAATAATAGCTTGTAGAGCAGTGCGTTGGCACGTCTGAAGCAGAAGCAGGTGTGGGCATCTCAGCATTGGAGACAAAAACCAAGTTTCCACCTTTCTTTAAAATTGAACCTCTTCTCTGTATGTGAAACATGATCACAAAATATATGCATTTTTCAAGTACTAAAAATGAATTTGTGAAACTATCCGCTAATCGGAAGAATAGCATATTTACGTGGGCCTGCAGTCATCTTCCACTAGCAAACAGACATCGGAATAGTTGATTTTTTCGAGTTCGGCATAGATGCGACCGTTCAAGGGTATTTCTGGATACTGCATATATTTCAGATAAATGTAAATATTTAATTGTAAGATACTTAATTAAAGTACTCACCTTTTTGGCTATTTTCCAGCAGTTCAGTGCCGTCTTGTTGCGATCCAAGCGCAAGTTTATGGTGGCCAAGTAGCCCCAGGGATCGGGCAGAAAAATATCAACTTCAGTGCTGCGAGCCAGATATTCGATAGCATCCTCAAGTCGATTCAACTACGAGCATAATATTAAGAAATGAATACGGTCTTTACATATGTTAAAGCTTACGTAGTACAGGGACAAGCCCATGCCATAGTTGGCCAAAAAGTTCTTTTCCTTTTTGCTTGATGGTACACACAATTCATAGGCCCTCATGGACAATTCATAGTCCCCACGCTCAAAACTTAAACGCGCCAAACGCAACAAGCTCAGATAAAATACTGACAGTATATCCGTATCGGTCAAATTGATATTCAATAAGTCCTTGAAGTATTTGATGGCCTCATCGTAATTTCGACGTGAATACTCCACGTTGCCATTGATATGAGCTTGATAGAACCGCTGAGAGCAAAGGATGAATTCTCATGCCAGAGACTACAATGACTACTCACCATTAGATTGCCGCGCGCGCTGTTGTCTGTGGGTAATTTGCGAACTGTGAACTTCTTGTCAATTTCACCCTGCAGCAACTTCAATGTGGTCTGTATCAAATACACTTCAATAGTCGAGAACTCATGTGCGATTTCATTAAATACTGCCTCTGCAAAACCGTATGCGCCCAGACGTGCAAACGTCTGGAATACCTCATAGAACTTAACAATATGTACGCTCTTGGCAGTTATATTGAAATCGTCGGGCATAAAGGTCTCGAAGAGTGACCGTGGTATCAACGGCATTGCTCTGCCCGGTACATCATAAAGATTCTCATACCTCCAGCGTGTGAACTCCATGCCGGGCAGATAGTTTTTCTGCTTGTAGAAGCAATACAACAGCACCCACGCCTCGCGATCCAAGTTGTTGTTGCTGGCGAAGACACGCAGCTTTTCAATCATATCGCTGTAGGCCTCGTCCAGCAGCTCCTCCGACTTCAACTGCACCTTGTATTCAATGTAAAGCTTCACAAGATTTCTATGTGGATGAGGATGGGTTTTGTAGTTCTCTTGATTTGTCGTAAAAATGATTAATACACACACAAAGTATTCGCCCTGCCATTTGAGCTCCTTTTGAGTTTGCAAGTAGTTGGTGGCATGCGCAAAGTTAAGGCTCTCGACAGAATTGAGGAACACGTAGAAACTGAGCAGCAATTTATTGGTGCAGCCAGCTTTGAGCTCGGTGAACAGCTGCTTGGCCAACACGCAGTCGCCAATGATGCACAAGTTGCGATACTCCTCCATGAGGCGCCTTATCCGCGGCTGATCGTTGTTTTGATTGAGCACGCAGTTGCTGAGAGCCTCCCAGCTGCAGTCATTCAGAAGGCAAATGATGCGCTCCATCAGCTCCTTGTGCATGTGCGTCAGCATCTCCTGGGTGGTTGGAGAAATGAGCAGCTTCTTACATACTAACACTCAGGAAAGTAGTTACCCGAAATTCAATGTTAGTCTTGGTGGGCATGCGCACATTGAAATCGCAGCCACAAATGTCGACTAGCAGATCCCTAAGGTTACTCAAATTGCAGCAGAAAAAGTTGTGCCTCTCCTCAATGCTGGTCACATCGTTCTTAATGATGAAACTGATCAACTCCTTGATATGCTCGTCGAAGTTGCGATACAGCTCCTTCAAAATGTCACGAGCGTTATCGTCCTCGTTCGGAAAATTAACCGCTGTGCAGCGACGCAGCTTGGCGGACTTCAAGTCGCTCTCGTTGTAGGCATCCAGAGGCTCATTGCGCTTTGTTAGCGTTTGAAAGAAGCATAAGTTCAGAATGGCAAACATGGGCAGTTCTGGCGGAGATTCTTCTGCCGTTCTGAATGTCTTTCTAGTGGTTTTTTTGCTGACTGCTGTCAGCTCAGCGGCAAAGCGGCACGCGTTTACTAAGAAATGAAAATAAAATTTAATTTAAATATAAAAGGATATATTTTCCCAAATGCACGAATCGTAATTTTAACCAATAAGACTACGTTCGAAATTAGTGATTTCTGTATCCTTTAGTTATAGAGATAAAATAGAAAAATAACGTTGAGCAGGCGGGCATTACAGACCGAAAATCGAGTCGCCTATTGAAGGCGGTTTAATATACATGCATGTAGTTAATAAGGTTCGGAGATGCTTACTTCTGCATGTTACATACATTAACGCAAAACCAATATACCCTTCTACTCCAGCTTTTACTCAATAATAGCTTTATAATTTATGTTTTAAAGCTCTAATAGAAAGCATTTAATACTTACCCTCTGGATAGCCAAAGACGCTTGGATTTATGACGCCCTCGTACATTACATTGAGAGGTATTTCATCGTAGAGCTGCAGGAGCAACTCGTAATGATTGTGCACAACGGCGGCTTCGAGTATTTCTCGCATCTGCGTGGTTATTACATACCGATGCAGCGAGTTATTGACCAGTGCGCTGTCTACTGCAGGATTAATCTCTTCTAGCTTGAAATCAACTCCCTGCGTCATGAGCAACTGCCGGAACAGGCGATGCACCTTGATGCGCAAATTTGTTTCCATTTGAATGTTGGCAACGCCGAGGGGCGCCTTACCCAAGAGGTCGCGCTTAATGCTCTCCCACACGATGATAATGTTCTGTTCGTTGATGATCTGCGAACCAAAGCTATAGAAGGTGCACAGGGGCAGCACCTCATACTGATCATTCAGGTCTGGCCTTGTGGAGCGAATGGAGATAATCATGCCCAAGTGTGCGGCTCTATCATGCAGATCTTCGGGCGCATTATAAATGGATTCCAGCGTGATAAAGACCAGATTTGTAAAATGTATATTTTTGAGTATGGGCAGTATGGAGTACATGTGCCACTCGCTGGTGGTGGTTATCTTTTGGGCAGTGCGCGTCTGCAATTTGCGATCGTACTCCGGGTACAGCATGATCGGAATGTTGCTGATGAAGCGCTTACTCTGAAAAAGTTGCAACAGATCGCAATGGCCTCTCGATACTAATTCCAGACTTTCTTCAATATATTCATCGTCGTCTTCCTCAGCGCCCTCGCCCGTGAATGCATCTGGCTCTATGGAGGCCTGCCCTTCGGTAACAGTATCAGTTTCTTTGGTTGCATCCCCAGCAGCTTTATCTGTTTCCGTTGGCGCTTTGGCCAAGTGCTTCTCAGGCTGTTTTTCTATCGTAATCTGCCAACTTGACGCCTGTGTTCGCACCTTGTCCACGGTAATAAGCTCGCGCTTCAGATGGCGTGGAATGCGCTGATACATGGTGACGACCAGCGGATTATCACTGAATGAGTTCATATCATCTATATCGTCCTGAATAATACCCAACGCAAACGCTGGCCTATCCATGTTGAACTCGTCCTGATGGATAATCGTCTCTGTTGTGTAGTGCTCCGACATATTCTGCAGCGTGTTTCTCGCATGGTATAAATGCAGCTCCAACGGATATGCAACCACTGGCAGGTTTGAAACGTTCTTCAGCTGCATATAGAGGAAAACCCTTTGTGATATGGGCCTGTTATCCATAGGTAAAGGTGTTCGTTTGCCGCCAGAGATTGTCGAGCGTCTCGCCTTGCGTTTTGTTTTGAGCGGGATGCGAGGGACTGTAAGCAGTTGTCCATTGCCTTGCGGATCCATTAAACGCAATTCATTAAAATAAGTATATTAATAATTCTTGTAGAATAATATTATACGTACTAATGGACTGCTGATATAAGTTTGACGTCATTCTCCCTGTGCCCTGTGTAATTAAACTTTTCAAAACTAATGTGTACTATCAGCTGATTAGCTTAACAATAATATTCGTATAAGGTTACATGGCTTACTTGTACAGAACCTGGAAACTTGGGCAAGTTTCGCAAAGTGGCTGTTATTTCACGCTCTGCATAATGAAAAGTAAATATGTATAGATACATATGTATATATACATATATATATGTACATATATATACATATATATATGTATATATATATATATATATTTATGTTTATAGGATATGATGGCATGGTATTACATAAGGTCGGTTCATACTCTTGCCGAGCACGCACTTGTCAAAAATTGTAGCCACAAAAACAGCAACATCAGAACCACGTACATCAAAAACAACAACAACAACAATGTTAAAAACTGCGTCAGTGCATTTTGGCCAAGGCCAAACCAACAGCAGCATCAACAACAGCAGGAGCACCACCAACAGCAGCAACAGTAACACCAACAACAGCGGCCACAACACCAACAACAGCAAGAAAGACACGTACTTGGACCTTTTTGCCCAACACTCAACTCACGACAGGTGTTTGTAGCTGTAGTTATATTCATAGCAATCCGCCAGGTATCATTACTATAAGCTAAATTTGGTGACAGCATGCAAATTGAAAGGCAGTGCATGATCTGTCTCATTTGCATGATATGTCATTGCGGCAAAAGATAAAGCGAAGTAATTACCTGATCACAAGTTGGTTTAAGTATAAATTTAAAACAAGCCGAAGTACTTTATATAAATATAATTTTTTCGTTACTTTTTCACAATTTTGCCAAGAAAAATAAATTATCAACATACTTAAAATTTCCAAATTCTACTTTTTATTATGTTTTGTAAGCTCGTTATTAATTTAATTTTGTTAAGCTGCACCAAGAATATTTAATGATTCATTTAATTTGATCGAAAATTGAATATTTATTATTAATTTATTAATCAAACAAAATTATTCATGGAATGTAAATATTTTCCTGTTATTTATCTTGTTTTATAGAGAATGTAAGTTATACGAATCTGAACACATTGAAAGTCGATCGTTAGGGTACACAAGCTTCGGCTTGACGTTCAGCATTTCTGTCTCCTGTGGCTGTTTGTTTTTGTATGTCTTGTTTGCCAGGCGGCGAGTGCTCTAAAATCCGCTTTGACAGCTCGCCTGTCAGCTGAGCCCAACCAAAACGGCCGCCTGTGGTGCGGTGTGTATGTGTGTGTGGGCTGTTTTGCTGGTTGTTTACTATTTTGTTGGAACTCCAGCAACATATGCTAATGACTCGGCAGGCGTGGTCGTAACAGGAACGGGCGTTGGTGCGGTACCGGAGCAGGCCACTCAGCTGGAGGCTTTCAGTCAGTTTAAGGCCAACTGGGCTACTAGGCACACACACACACACAGACACTGGCTTCATCAAAATGAAATTTGCTGGCAAACACATGACGTAAAACTACTTGGCAGGTAACTGAAACGCTTGTTCGTTATGCTCAAAAGCTTTAAAATGCGCTTTTAGTTGCAGTGAGGCTCATATGCAAATCAATGCTGTGCTCAGCTTCCATTGCCACCCAGCCATGCAAAGCACGCATACGCCATGTGCGCCCAGGCGACGAGGCTTTTGCACCTGACGCAACAAAATCAATTAGACACTTGCACACGAGGATTTTAGCAGCACAATAACTAAAAGGAGAACAACAGCAGCAATTGCAATATGAACAAGCCAACAACAATTGCAATTTAATGTGCTGCCGTTGCCTGCTAATGATAATGTTGTTATGTGCCTATTATCGTTGTTGGTTCTGTTGCTTCTGTTTCCATTGCAGCTGGGGCCTGAGTTGCGATTGCAGTTGTTCTGGCTTGTACGGCACATACAATTCATTTGCATTTCAATGAATGGCTTCTGTTTGAGTACACATATGACAATCGAGCTTCCAAACGAACTCCATGGGGAACCTTTCTTATTGGTGTTGAATCTGTGCAAAACAGTTTAAGCCTGTTTTTACCATAAACATACTTAAAAAAATATATTTAAATTTATATTTCTTATATTTAAATAATTTATATAATTGGCTTTGAACTCAGTTTTAAAATTACAAACGAATGAATTCATTTGGAAAATGCATCTGCGTAAATGTGTATTTAACTTTATAGACTGCAATGGAAAAAACTTGGCTTTAGTAAAGACATGTATTAGAGACAGCTTTTGCAATATAGCATAAAATGAAGTTCACATATTCAGATTCGAGAACATGCTTAGAAGTTTATAAGCTAATATAGCTCATTAGCCACACTTTGCACGGTTGTTGAAACAAATGGGAATTACATAATTTTCCGGCCATGCGTTGACCCAATTCCAAAACTATACCATAAACTGTCCATAAACACTAACAAACTGCAGCCTCACCGATGCATGCAATCAACTTGGTGACTGACACAAAAACAACAGCAAACAGCTGCTAACCTCAAGCAATTTCTAATCAAAATCTGTTAGTAAACGTGAGCGGAGAAGCTTATACGAAAATGCCTGGGAATCTGCTCAAAGCAGATCAAGTTAATTCCAAAATAGCTCAGCGCAGCGAAAACAGAAACCCACAAAAACCGCACATAACTCTACGCTGCAAGCTAATCACAAACACACACACGAACACCTAAACGCACACCAGCAGGCGTTTCAAAATAAAAACTACAAAAAAAAACCAAGAAAAGAAATGTGCAAAAAATTTGTTAAATAATACCAGAAAAACTAGCAGCTGTCCCCGTCGCTGTGCTACATCGGCCTTGCCAGAAAGTATGCAAAAGATTTTTCTGGCATACCGGGAATGAATTTAACAAAGCTAACGTGAAATTTACACCGCTGCTACGCACGGATCTGGGCCGGCTTTGGTGCTTGGACTGGGTGGGATTCAGGTTTTCGGGTGCTAGCGGCATGAAATTTTCATTTGAAATTGAATATGAAAAAAGCCGCTCGCGACGCTCGGCGACAGCTGCTGCAATTGACAATTATTATTATTGCTCAGTGTGAATGAAAAGCCGCACCCAGTCAGCTGCCAACTGGCACACTGAGAACGAGAGAGAGAGAGAGTGTGTGTGTGTGTGTGTGTCCTGGCACTGGCTTGGTATTCATATGATGGCCGTGTAGCTCATAACAAAACTCCAAACTGCCTCGTTGGCTTCAATAAAATCCAATGTACGCATTAAAATCATTTAAATTCTATTGTTTTTTTCTTTCTTTCACATATGCATTGGATATTTTTTGTTGGTTCGCTCCTTTTTTCTTGTTGTTGTTGGCGTCTCGCTGACAACGCACGCACACACACACGCACACCGTCAGATGCTGGGGGCCACAAATGCCACGTAAGCTGTTTTCGTTACGGCTTTGCTGATATCAACCAATGCATATTTAATGGCTTACGCGGCGTATGAGCAATGCGAACTGTGATATGCGTTGCGATATGCTTGTTGGCGAATTTAATGCCTTTGAAAGCGCCATAACTCGATGCAATTAAATTGAGACACTCTAATAAGTTGATTTTTATATTCCACGTGGAGAAAGCTACCTCGATTCTGTTTTTAAAAAGCAACAAAAATTTCCATGACAATAAGATAAAAATATAAATATACAATAAATACGCAAAGATGAATATGATTATGAATACATAGAAATAGACAAAGGTTATAAATACTTAGATGCACATATGGATACAACTATAATGATATAAGCCAATATATTTTATATTTTCTGAATTTACACACAATTATTTTAACAAAAAGGTTTTCTTCCCTCTACATATAATGGTATAATGCACAAGTTGGCATATGTGTTTTCTTTGCACTCTTCACTCATATTTATGCCATTTTGTATTCAGAAGCGCCGAAAGTTCTACGCGACGGTTAAGGTCCCACCTGTTCTGGCCCGTCTGCTGCCAGAGTATGCAAATGCTCAACGTCAAAGTGCGACTGAGCGCAAGCAAAGGGTGAAGCTGGGAACAATTGAGGTTTGAGTCAGACTTGTTTGCATAATGCGAAGCAGTCAACAGCCACCACACAAAAAAATCCCCCGTCCGCGCGCACACACAATTGTGATATAAAAATGCTGCGGTTTTTATTTTGCAATTCCATACGTTGTACTTTTGCTCAGCCGAAGAATTTTATGCTGACAGCAGCGAAATCATTTGGTAAGCAAAAAGGATTTTCACTGTTGTTGTGACGCTTTTTGCGTTGATTTGTTCGTTGATTTGCGTAAAGGCTGCTGCAATACAGCAACAGCTTGCTGGCCCGAAATAGGGGTTGGGGTGTCTTGTTCAACAAAAATAAGCAGCAAATCCTTTTGAATGCCAGGTCGGAAACTTTATGGCCAAGTTTTTCATTTGGCGCATTTATAAATTATTTAAAGTGTCGCCGTTTCTGCACACGATGTGCAGGGGTAGCTACTCACAGTTGTTACGTGTGTGTGTGTGTGTGCTGATGTATGAATGTGTATCATTGACCTCGTGACCTCAAAAGTGCTTTCGCACACATTCAACATTTATAGTAGACAAGCTGGCCCAGTGACATGACAAAACCATAAACAGTGGCTAAACAAGGTGCTTAAATTATGCCACAAGATCTCAAAACTGGCTGTAAATAACATGCCGTACCGTACTGGACTGGACCAGAACGGACCAGAGCGGCAGGGGCGGCAAGGGACGGCAAACAGTTGACTAAAGCATCCCCTCAACCCCCTCCACAATTCATATTTATGGGTGTAGATGAGTGTGCTGTCGGCTTCTACTCGCACTCACACTGACACGATGGGCATGCGTCGCCTGCCACAAAATGTTGCCACTCTCGTGCCCTTCTCCAGCTGGCTCATCCTTGCGCCATTATGTCCTGGCTTGTTGCTAGTTGTTGGTCTCACGCTTGGCTGCCTTTGGTTTTGAGCAATCAACGTGCAAGTTGTGTGTGTGTGTGACAGTTGTATATGTTTACTTAACGCTATTCAGCTGCCAACTGTTCATGCTCATATATGAATATCAATGGCTCACACGTAG